TAAACATGAATTCAGACTTTTTACAAATCTGCATCATTATTACGTAGTTATTTCGGAGTCCCTTTTTGTCGGTTTATTGCAGTTAAATCACAGTTAAATCAGTTTATTTAGTGTTCAAACAGCTGTAGTAAACAGCCGACGTGTGGCTCGCTAGACACAGTGAATACAGCTCGATGAGATCCACGGAGCTCCTCTGGACTGTTATGAACCAGACATGACGGCGTTTAGTTTCCTGATATCTGGACTTCCACAATACGTACTAAATCTAATCTGGGGAAGAGTTACGATTCAATTATAGTGGCTTAAATTATTCATAGAATATTATTTCAACACACTGCTTTTTTTGTTGTGTTGATTTCATAAAATATATATAATATAGATGAAATATTTTAACTGCTACTGTGTAAAGGGAATACTGCTGTTAAAAAGCACTTTATTTGTTTGAAGTGTTTGCAAACCAAATGTTATTGCACTTTTGTTCATATAGCAGTACTTTTATTGAATTTTGCGCATAACAATGCAATTAATCGCAAAAAATATCATGCGATTAATCGCGATTAAAAATTTTAATCGTTGCCCAGCACTAATTATTCCACTTTAATCTAGGGGGGGTTAGGGAGGGATGGTCGCTGTGGGAGGGTCCCCTCATGGAATCTTGCAATACACATTCCTACCAATGTGTTCACACTATTCCAATGATTTACAGGGGACGGTTATGCACCAAGCTATGCTGTAAGTGTGCCAGCAAAGGCAGACAAGAAGAAGAGTGTGCTACTAGCAAGTGTGTTACAGACTATATCTGTTAAAAGTGTTCAGTGATATATGCAGTGGGTGTAACTGTGTCTCAGTCAGGACTGACGCAGGCTGTACAGGACAGTAACATCACCCTGGAACAAGCCGAGTATGACTTCCTGTCCTTTGTCAGACAGCACACCCCGCCTGGACAGTGTCCCCTTGCCGGTGAGTTACTTTTTAGCATTAGCTGCAGAATTGTGATTTTACTCAACTATGTTGGCTCCTACAGTCATGTCCCATGATGCCTCTTCCTGCAGGTAACTCTGTGCATGCGGACAAGAGGTTCCTGGACAAGTACATGCCACAGTTTATGTATCACCTTCACTACAGAATCGTTGATGTTAGCACCATTAAGGAGCTCTGCAGGTCAGTATTTAATATACAGGAGACAGCTGATGTTATTAAAGCCTTGTTATTTACTCAACCATCCATTTGTTTGTCAGTTTGCAAGTCAAAGGCCCAGTTTTAATATTGCAGTGCTTTTGTAACTCAATGACTGTGTCTACTTAGCAGTACATCAGAAGAAATGTAAGATTGAATGCATTCTCTTCAATGTGACTATATTTGAGATAACTGTGGGTTTGTTTTTGTTCTCTAAATGCTTTCAGACGGTGGTTTCCAGAGGAATACAAAATGGTGCCTCACAAGAAAGCAGCCCACAGGTAAACAATAATATAAGCTATTGTGTTTTACTTGTAGCTGTCAATTACGATGCACTGTACTCACCAAAGTGACTGCTGAGATATTTGAACACTGGGGGCTTCACTACAACAAAGTCAGACAAGGCAAACACAATGAATCAAGACAATCAGAGGCTGGAAGCAAACCAGCAGTTTTTCATGAAGGTCAACTTGAGTAAGTACAGTTTAAAGTTGAAGCAGGAAGTGGGTCTGTAAAATTGTGATACAGTTTGTGTAATCATTTGACCTGTCTGGTCATGTCTCGCTCAGCTCACTTGTTTTTAGTGATATTGTCATGCTCTAAGATTTCAGTAAGTCCATTGGCATCATAACGACATAACTGATCTCAACCTGTGAAAATAAGTTCCCAAGTTAAAATGAATCAAAATGATCCTTTAAGATCACTTTTAAGGTTCAAAGGAAGATAAATAATTCAATGACTGTGGTTTCCTCCTTCAGAGCCTTGGATGACATCCAGGAGAGCATTAAAGAGCTGCAGTACTACAGAGCCAACGTCTTCAGAGCCTCAACAGAGCAGAAGAAGCACAAGAGTGTAGAGAACAGAGGCAACAGCAACAGTTAGCACTTTTCAAGGAGGCTATGGAAACTTCGGTGTTGTGTTCCCTTATTTCTTCAAGAAAGCAGTTTCCCCAGTCAATTTCATTTATGCGATTGTTTTCATTGATTTTAGTTTTCATTTATATTTAGCTGCCCAATGATCCTTTGTTTCAGTGTTGGTCAAAAGTTAAATATAGAAGTTTCATCAAAGGGAGCAAGCTTCTTATATAAATGTTGTTAAAGCATCAGGTTTTCATTAAAGTGACATGAAACTGCTGTTCTGAGGCACTTTCTTGAAGAAAATCATGTAAACTATGTTTTCTGTCACAAAATCCACTTTTGAAAATTCGCTTCACGTTTGGTGTGAACACATCATAAGAGGTATTAAACCAAACATATTCGACTCATGAACTACTTATGGAAGAAAGAGTATTTATTCCACATTAAAGTTAAACATAAAATCCTATTCTTGGTCTCTGGAAGGGACTTGGACATTGGATTATTCAAACAGTACTGAGCAAAAGTAGTTTATAGTATATGTGCAAGTAGTTTCAGAAGTAATGAATCCAAAAATATTAGAGTAATAAACTATGGAAAAAAGGGTTTTTATACTACATCAAAATGAGACAAAAATGCCTATTTTTTGGCTGTGACATTAGATTACTCAAAAAGTACACATTAAAAGTAGTAGAGGTCATTTTTGAATTTATTACATTTTTTATTTAACCAGATAAGTCAACCAGTTGTCATTTGCAATGACGACCTGGACAAAAAGTTGTTTCAAACGAATAAAATATAGAAACATCTCAATCAATCTCATACAGAAATGACAACATTGTAGTGGATTTAAGGGCCTAATTCACGGGTTCCCTTTAAGGGAAAGAGAGTAACCATGATGCAATGTCAGGTTGGGGATTAAAGGTGAGAAGGAAGTCAGTGTTTGTCATGTTTTTGGGAGTGGAAATAAACGGCAACAGAGGTGTGCAGCCAAAAAGAGAAGTTGCTGTACGTGTTAATTCCGTTGCTCTACAACATGTGTACAAAATATATAAAGCAATAAATAAAAAAGTGTTCTGGAGAATCGAACTCAAACAGTTGCAGTGATCAGAGACTATCCTTTGTAATGAGTTATTGAATGAGGGTAATGGAATGAGGGTGTGGACTTTTAGCTTCTTTTGCAATTCATTCTATTCGCTTGAGCAGCAAACTGGAAAGAGAAGCGGTGAGGACTTTAGGAATGGCCATGTTGACGAAATTGCTAGAGTGTAAAAAATCGAAAAATAGATGACTCATAAACTACTTATGGAAGAAAGGGTTTTCATCCCACATCAAATTTAGATGGTATTTCCGACACGTGGTGTGTCGTCCATCAATCTAGTCCTTGGGCAAGACACTTAACCCCAAAATTGCTCCCGTGCTGGCGCTGAATGTGTGTCAATGATTAGTTGGAGTTCTCATGGTGTAATGGGAAAATATTCCTATACCCGCTTTGCGTGAGTCTTTTCATGCTGAAATTAGTGCTGGGCAACGATTAAACTTTTTAATCGCGATTAATCGCATGGATTTTTTGCGATTAATCGCATTGTTATGGCAAAGATCAATAATGAATTCAAAGGTAGTGTATTGCGCACTTTTATTTTAAAAGTACTGCTATATGAACAAAAGGGCAATAACATTTGGTTTGCAAACACTTTAAACAAATAAGGTGCTTTTTAACAGCAGTATTCCCTTTACACAGTAGCAGTTATATTTCTTGCTATATCTGTGCTCAGTGTGTGAAACGTTCCACTGCTGTGCAACATGAATAAAATGTTTCAGCATGTTTCAGCAAAATATCTGTCTTCATGACAGACAGCATGTGAATGCAGCTCTACTGTTCATCAATATAATGCTGTAACTCCAAGGTAATGATGGTTACACAGCAATCAAAGAATAAAGACACTTTACCCACAATTTAGGTGTATTTTCCCTTTAACTCACGAGATGCAGCATGTTTTATACTTAATGTGAATATAATTTATACTTTGGCATCTTATTCTGAAAACCGGATGTTCGTCTGAAGAAACCGGATGTTGTCTCACGTTAATTTTTCTGCTAACAAAGTCCTTTGCTCGCTCCCGACCTGTGCCGTTTAAATGCGTTTACCGTGAATGTCAGCATATAGGTGCACTAACATGTAAGTGTGCTGAGTTGACCACGGAGATCTGAGTGTCTGCTGACTTTACCGCAGCGATGTCCAGTAGTCTCCATTCCTCCACGCTGCCAGTGAGCAACTGACTTTCAAAATAAATAAAATGCGTTAACGCACTATAAAATAATTGTCGGCGTGAATTAATTAATGCGTTAACGCGATAATAACGTGTTAACTTGCCCAGCACTAGCTGAAATACATAATACCAGAAAGCAGGTTGTATTTTAAGTATTTATTCTCTGCGCAGAGAAGGTTCAATCATCACAACAGAATGCGTACAGTCTCAGTGAGGAAGTGAACAAGCTTTCTTTATAAAGAATGAGCAAAGGTGGGAGCTGATGGCCAGTGTTACAGACATTTCAGTATCAGACTTTTGGTCTCAGACTGATAGGAACAACAAACGGTCAGCAACCAAAGCAAGCGGCCCAAAGGCCTTGGTGCTGGAACATTCTCACACAACACAGTTATCTATGTGAACAGGCAAGGGAGAACTCTTCTTCTGCACAACAGAGACATGGTGAAGTTCAACAAAGTTCAGAGCAAAATTACTTATGAATACAATATACTGAGTAGAAATATATACTGAGTAAGTAGAAATATATACTACATAAAAAAATACCATTACAATGGGCAGGTGGCACCTTGCATGGTAGCCCCTGCCATCAGTGTATGAATGGAGGAATGATGACATATAGTAAAATAAAGCACTCTGAGTGGTCGGAAGACTAGAAATGCGTTATACAAGTACAGTCCATTTTGTGAACTGAACCAGAGGGTCAGATGGACTTTCAGTGGTACTGAAAGCTGTTTGCAAAGCTTGCATGTAGTCATATGAAGTAGGGTTCTGGCTACCCTCTGAAACCTCTGTATGTCACATGCTGGACCTTTTGGACTTTCCAATATTCTCTGTCTCTTCACATTGTCACTGCCATATTTTTCTAGTTTATTAGGGCCCGAGCTACCGACGTTGGGCCGCGAAGGCCCTATTGATGTTGTACCCGTTTGGGTAAACATACGCATGGTTGGAGGACTTGCCATGCATGAAAACTCACCAAATTTTGGGGACTTGTCAGGCCTGGTGAATATAGCCATCTGAAAAAGAATGCATCTTTCTGTTAAGAAATGGCTCTCTAGCGCCCCCTACAAGTCGGACCGGCGACGCCCCTCGGCCAGTATGTCCGATTGACTTGAAATTTGACACACATGTCCACTTGAGCTAGAGCTACAAAAAAGCCAATCAGACCCCTAAGCTCCGCCTACTTAGATTTTCCGCCATATTGAATTTAGTGTACAACACATTTCTGCGAACTCCTCCTACATGCTTAGTCCCATTACTACCAAATTTGCTGTGGATCATTACTGGATATAAGTCATCAAAAGTTATCAAAAGCTTTTTGATATCTCTTTTCGTTTACAAGATATGTACCAATAAACTTCTTGGGGGCGTGGCTTAATATCAATACCTATAACTTCTCAACCGTTTGTCCTAAAATTACCAGATTTTCAGCATATGTGCACATTGCATCCTCTAACATACCCTGATATTTATTTTGCATTCAACAAGTAGGGGGCGCTACAGTAAACCCTCGAAGTTGTGCTTTTTGTCACTTTTTGCAGATTTCAGCCTTCGCACTTTAACGAACTCCTCCTAGAGATTTTAAGCGATCAACTTCTACTTTGGTCAGGATGCTCTTAAGACCTTTGTGATTAAAAGTTATCAAAATCGAGAGTTTTCATCAAAGAACCTTGACGTGGCGTGGCGGCCATTTTGCCTCATTGTTTATGAAAAAGAAGTTGTTATAACTCCAAGGTACATTATCCAATTCGCACAAAACTTCTTATGCATGATGCTACTTCAAGCCTAAACATACTTCAATTGAAAATATTTCAATAACTCATAGCGCCGCCTACTGGCTAAAGGAAATGTCATATTTTATACTTTTATTTATTCCTCCTAGCCAGGTGACCTGATGAGTCTCAAATTTGGTAAGGATAGCCTTAAGACATTGATGATAAATCGCCATGAATATTGTGAGTTTTCGTTCCACGCTGTTGCCGTGGCGACGCATAGTTTGCCATGAAAAAGGAAGCTGATTGTTTAGTGGGTTGGGATTTAAGGCGACCGTGGCTTACTGAGTAGAGAGGGTTGCCAACCGAAAGGTCACCGGTTCGATACTCGGCTGCACCGTGTCCTGTGTCGAAGTGTCCCTGAGCAAGACACTGTACCCCTAACTGCTCCCCCGGTGCCTGTCATTGGCAGCCCACTGCTCCCTATATATATACAGGGATGGGTCAAATGCAGAGAATAATTTCCCCACTGTGGGACTAATAAAGGAATGTTTCTTTCTTCTTTCTCTTCAAAAACTCATGGAACTTTGTACATGTCATTGGAAGAAATAGTTCATATGATTTTCTTTATTGGCCGTTTTAAATTGCCTCTATAGCGCCCCCTACAAGATTTCAAAAGAGGAGCCCCAGCGCTACGTTTTGGCTACATGTATGAAACTTGGTAGGCACATGTATCCTATGGAGACTTAAAAATAAGTCTCTTGGGACCATGCTCTAAACCCTACCGCCATTTTCAATTTTGTATGAATTTATACAATATTTCGACGATGCAGCCCTCGCAGTACGTTTCACTATCTATATATAAAATTTAGACGTATAACATTTGGTAAACAGATGTATCACATGTAGACTGACAAAAAAGCCCCGGAGCTCTAAGCTCTAAACCCAACCGGAAGTCAGCCATTTTGAATTTAGTGGAAAAAAACACATTTTTGCGAACTCCTACACGCTGGCTCCGATTTCTACGAAATTTGCTGTGGATCATAAGTGGATCTAAATCATCAAAAGTTATCAAAATCTTTTTGATATCTCTTTGTGTTTACAAGATATGGACCAATACA